CGCCCCACTGTTCCAGTTCGTCCAGAACGTTTGAGAAGGTATCTTTAACGGAATTGAGATCTTTCTTGTTGGTGTAAATAAATGCGTCATCAGCATACGATGAAATGGAAATGTCTTTGTGTCTGTTAAAAATTGAAGATATTTGCTCAAAAGCAATCATAAAGAGTACCACCGAAAGAGGGGAACCCTGAGGAATGCCATTGTGGAGCTTATGTAGATTTGATGTTGAGTTATTGACTCGGACCCTGAAAGTTCTGTTGGTCATAAAGGCTTTTATAAGGTTATAAAGTCTTGGACCAACGCCCCAGAGTACGAGTTGGTATAACACTGAGTGTAACCCCACGCGATCGAAAGCCTTTTCAAAATCCGTAGCCAGAATGGATACGTGATTTTTTGTAGAAAGGGCCTTCGACGCGAAGTGTTGGAATCTCAAGAGAGCATCCATAGTACTGTGACTCTTTTTGAATGCAACCTGGTAGTGAGAGATACGGCTTTTTTGGGTGGTAAACCACATGAGCCTGCGTGCAATCATTTTCTCGACTGTTTTTCCTAGGCAAGATAGAAGTGAAATGGGACGGAAGCTATTGATTTCTGGGTTAGTTTTGTTTGGTTTGGGTATAGGGATTATCGTGGCTGACTTCCAGGTATGTGAATAGGATCCTGTTTGGAGCATTGCGTTAAAGACCTCTAAAAGTTTATCTTTAACACCTGGTGGTAGGTTTTTAAGCATGGGATACGAAATTCTGTCAAAGCCAGGACTTTTTCCCTTTGCCGTTTGAATTGCGATTTCTAATTCCAGTTTTGTAAAATTTAAGTCAAGTTGCCTCGCGGAAAGAGATGTAGAAATGGGTTGGTAGGTGTGGTTTAAATAGGTTTGCTTAGATTGACAGTACTGCTGAGAGAAGTTGTGGTTGGCCGAGTACTCTGACCAACAATATCCAAATTGCTCTGCAATTTTCTTCGGACAGGTAAGAAGACCAGTTTCCGTTTTTAAATATCTTTTTGGGGGTAGTGAAAGGTGAGATTCGGGAAGTGAAATTTTGAAAGCAGGTGCGTTTGGCAGCTAGTACAGCTTTTCTAAAGCAAGCGTTGGCTCTTTTGTAGAGTAAAAGATTCGGAATTGTAAGGTCCGATTTGTACTTGTGAAAAAGATCTTGTTTTTCGTCCCTAAGCTCCTGGAGAGAGTGGTTCCACCAGGGGACTTTGGCCTTGTGTGGAATGCTTTTAGTTTGTGGGATGCTGCAGTTTGCCGCCGCCCTTATACATTTAGTAATTTGGGCAATTTGGCTATTAAGGCTACCAGTTTTCCATGTCAATGAGATACTCGTGCATTTTGTTTTAAAACTCTCCCAATTGGCCAAGTCGGTTTTGTACTTTGGTAACGGTGGGGATTTATCAGCACTGAAACGGATTGATACGAACGTAGTGATTGGGAAGTGATCGCTGCCATACAAATTAGAAGCGATAGACCAGTCGCATATGTGCGCAAGTTGTGGGGATATCAGGGAGATATCTACGTGAGTAAGAGTATTGTGGGTCGAGAGGTGAGTGGCGGAGCCGTCATTAAGTGTGATTAAATTTAGGTCAGCAATTGTACGCTCCAGGGCTTTCCCCCGGGAGTTGGATTTTGGCGATCCCCATAGCGGGCTCCAAGAGTTGAAGTCGCCCAACACTATGAAGGGTCCGGATATATGGTTTAAACAGTCAACAATGTCGGTACTCCTGAAACTCTGGCAAGGAGGGATGTACATATTTATTATGGTAATGGGCCGGTCCAGATCAAGCTGGAGTGCTGAGCATAATATGTTTGATGTAATCTGTTTGTGGGTATGGGGGATGTGTCTTTTAATGAGCACTCCAATACCTTGTTTGGCTGACGTGTTATGGGGAAGGTTGCAGAAATAAGCTAAATAGGCCTTAGGGCAAACAAAGCTTTTTGAATCGTTAGGCAGAAGGGTTTCCTGTAGGCATATAATGTCGGGCGAATTGTCATTAATGAGTAGAGACAGTTGGTTGTAATTGTTTATAAATCCATTTATATTCCATTGGGTGATTTTTAAAGGCATTTATTTAAATAAGAAAAAAAAAAGGAGGGTACTGGGGGCGCTTTTAGAGATCTTGTTCCATTTCAGATTCAGAGTCAGAAAGGTTTTTTGCTTGGCTAAACTCGGAGTCTGTGGACATATTTTCATTTGTAGAATTACTGTGGTCCGAATCTAAAGTTTTTAGAAACCGTTGCGCTTCGTTAATGATAGCGCGAGATTTTTTTAGTCGGTCTTTGATCATGGGGTTTTTATCTTGCGTTCGTGGTGACGGTGGTGATTTGGTGTAGTGGGGGGAAAGGGGGAAATGGGGGGAGCCCGGCAAGGGCGTTGGAGGAGAGGTGGGGGAGGGAGTTACATTTGCTTTTTGTGTTACATTGGTTGTGCTTTGCTTGCTGGTTGATGGTTTCTTGTTGTCTTCTGCTTGCAGAGAGTCTTGCTTCGGTTTCGAAGCCGTTACCGAAGTCGGTTGAGAGGAAGCAACCTTCGCGAAGGAAGCCGAGTGATTGATTGTCGATGATGATTGTTGTAGTTGTAGTTATTGAATAATTCTAGCTTCACGCATGCTGCATTTTTTTGTTGTTTTAATTTTTAGTAGGTCTCTTTGCTGTTGATACGCTGGGCAAGCAGGTGAGGAGGCGGGGTGTTGGCCTGAGCAGTTCGCGCACTCGGCGCGTGAGCAGGGCGCGGGTGGGTGAGGGGCAAGATTGCAGGTGGAGCACATGGTTGGATCACCACAGTGTCTAGCTGTATGTCCGATCCTCTGGCCGTTTTTGCACCGCATTGGGTTTGGTATGTATTCCCTTATTATTTGACACTGTACCAAGAGATGTCCAGCTTACTAGGAAGATTGTAGAGATCGAAAGTGACCAGAATCACTCCCGAGGGTTTGGTGGCGTTGTCGATGGTTTTGGTAAACTTGAATACCGAATGCACGTTTTGGGCTCGTAGCTCTTTCACAATTTCTTCTTCTGGGATGTTGTTTAGGCATGGTGCGTATATTGTTCCCTTCACAAAGTTAAGAGATTCGTGGTAATTGAATTCGACGTCGCATAAGCCAGGTAGGTGGGTGGTACGGAGGAATTTGTCGGCCACTGGTTTGGTGGTAACTAGCATCAATAGATTTCCATCTCTTAGCGTAGAAATGGAAATTATTTCCTTGCTGATGGTTTGTAGTGCCTTGTGTACAGCGAAGCAAGAGTAGTGTGAGATTGGTTTTTGGGAGTCTTTTGTTTTTACTATTATAAACTTTGGATTTTTTTGAACTGGAGTTGGAAGTTCAGGGAACTCTTCCGTAAGTTTTTGGTAAGGTCTTTTCTTTTTTGATTTGGAGCTCTCGCCTAGCACAGCAAAGCGATTACCCTGCAGATTGGGGGGCTCGGGGCCCATGATCGCGAGTGTTTTTCGTCTGTTTTGGCAGACGTAGGTGCACTCGGAGGGGTGGGGAGGTATACTGAGCACAGGTTCCGAAGATCAACGATGAGAAAGAAAAAAGACGTCCGCACTCGATGACTGGTAGTCGGTGACTGACCATATATACACCATATATATGACCATATATATACAAAACAACCAAAAGCAAAGTCATACTTTTTTTTTGAAGACTTCGATGTCACGTTTGATATGAAAAACATACCAAATTTATACGAATTAATATCATATTGATACAAAATCATGAACGGGTGTTTCTGTCGATTAGGAGAAGCCAGACAGCTGTTTTCTGGCGACTCTGAGAAGCAGTGGACAACAGAAGTTTTAACAGCGAATGTTAGATTTCTGCTGCTAATGTTAGCAGCACTACACTACGAAGAAGACATAAGGAGAAGCTGGTCGCGTTTATAACCGAGCTTTTATATTTCCTAATTTGTAAATCAAAGTTAGCATTAAGTCAAAGATTGAAAGTATACAAATGAATACAACTGGTGAAGTTCAACATATTTCTGAGTTTTTATTACAAAGTGTGTGAAAGACCCCCAGAGTAGACTTCTGCTCAACTTTGACGATCGAGTGCGAATCGTCACAACATTTTGGTGGCCCATGAGGGGAACATACACTCATAACATCATCAGCTTCCAATATTTGTAAACATACTTCAATCTTTGTGCTTACTTGTTTGCAAATCTATTATTAATTTAAACCAGCAAAGTTACGCAACCTTTGCCACGTACATCGCCATAACGGAGCCTCGAATAACGGAGGAATCAAGAAGTCGAGGAGAATAGCGGATTCAACCCCTGCCCTCGTGAAGTTTGCCGTCCCCTTCCTTCAAAGCTTGATCGCAACACGAGCGGATCGACTGAAACAGCCCTTCAGTTCTGCAGTAGGGACGCGGTGACATGGCTCAAGGCAAAAAGCTTTTTTGTTTTTTCCCTTCAGTTCCAAAAAAAAAGTTTCACTTGTGAATCACCTTGGGAATCACCTGGGACATGTCCTCGTGTACAAGTGAAGAACAACCCTTCAGTTCTGCAGTAGGGACGCGGTGACATGGCTCAAGGCAAAAAGCTTTTTTTGTTTTTTTTTTTGTGCCTAAAACGCTGTGCCGCTGTTGACGTCAGCAGAGCAGTCGGCGCAGCGTAGAAGACTGCCCACGAAAACGGTCGTGCAATAAAGAGAGGCAGATATTCGGAGATATCCCTCTCTTTCTTGTCTTATAATCTGCCTGCACTCCGCGCTCGCAGAGACAAATTTCGGTCGGCCCGTTATTTTTTTTTGGAGTCTCTCCGTTATGTTCGGCTAGCGACCAATATTTCGACGGAAAATTTTTAGTCGCGCAGCGACATGTGAATGCCCTAATATTTTAGGAGCATTATTGTGTATCGAAAAAAACAACTAATATTGTTTTATAAAAGTAAATTATTTGATTATAGTAAAATTAAGTAATTTGGATTTACTTATAATGTTATGTTTACTTATTATACATTTTTATTACAATATATTTTTTTAGTGTAATTATAGAAAATTAGTCCGTTAAAATTGATTTCAATATTTAAAACATTAGTAGTATTAGTATTAACATTTTTAAAAAATTCGTATTGTATTTCTTACTTAAGAAGTACAAATTATATAGTCGGATATATTTCGCCTTAGAAAGGGTATAAGTGCAGTGGCACGCGCCAACAGCGAAGAGAAAACAAAAGAAATCAAGCAAAGGGGTGAGAGGAAGACTTGGTGCATTTGCATTCTAATTTGAGTGATTGCAAAAGAAGGATCGATTTCAATTGTGCGCATCAGGCATCAGCTTAACTAAAACGTGTTTTAAAGTTGAAATTATAAACCCAGGTAAGTGTTACGTTAAGTGTAATACGTTGTGCATTAAACTGACTTTAAAGGTACGTTAGTTTAAAAACAGTTTTATGCGTTTGACAAAATAACCCAAAAAATCGGATACCGCTAGCCAAAAGTGGATTGATAAAATAAATTACATAACGGACATAAATTACATAACAAGAAAAAATCATTTGTGCACGTTTTTAATACTAATAAACTTCGCTAAACAACTCTCTTTTTCTGGGCAAGTCGAAATGTTTAATTGTGAAATATACAGCTACGCCCAAAAACATAGTGATTTTGCAATGTGCATTATTTAAAAAATTTTAAACAGACATAAAAATTGATTTATTTAACAAAAATCTAAATCTAATATATTTGAATAAATAATAATTGTTTTGAATAGCAAAATCACTTTCATTTTGGACACAGATGAATATATCATAATTAATAAATAATAAAGATTATAAAATAAAAATGTTTGGTTATGTTTATTTCAAAAATTTATTGGTAATTTTCAGCTTTGATATTATTATATAATTTAAAAGATTTTATCACATTGTTGTTAAAAATATGTAAATAAATGTGAACAAATGAGACATTTACAACAATTATTTAAAATGAAATGGATTTATCTATAATAATTATTTATTCAATTTAAATAAATTGATGAATAAATAATTATCAACAAATTAATTATTTTCCAAAAAAATTATTATAATGTGTAATTATTGTTTATTATAAATAATTATTATAGTGTATTAATATTATTTATTACACGTTATAATAGTTATATAAATAATTATTATAATTATATAAATAAATAAATTATATATAAATAATAAATAAATTATATAAATAATTATTATAATTATATAAATAATTATTATAAATATATAAATAAATAAATAATAAATAAATAATTATTCATTCATCAATTTATTTAAATTGAATAAATAATTATTATAGATAAATCCATTTCATTTCAAATAATTGTTGTAAATGTCTCATTTGTTCACATTTACTTACATATTTTTAACAACAATGTGATAAAATCTTTTAAATTATATAATAATATATATAATATATATATGGGCAAATCCGGAAAATGGTCAACCAGGCCCGAAACAAGAAAAATCTTCAAAATCATCGAATTTTTTGCGTATTTTCGCAAATTAATGGCCGTATTTTCTTAACACAGTGGAACCAAAGCATATTTCATTTGTTTTTTTGAACAAATTTCCCTGAAAACTGAAAAAATGCACTTTTTTTCATTTTTAGCTACTTTTAAGGGCATTCTTATAATTAATTATTTCGCAAGGAAAACATATGATTTGTTTGAACTTTTTCTACCAAATCTATTTATTGCAATCTAATTAGAAGATAAAAATCCAAGGAGGGCTAACATATATTCAATTGACTGTTAATAAATCAACATGGAAAAATCGTACGTTCGCGACCCGTACGTTCGCGACCGGTACTTAATTCAATAAAAGAAAAACAAATGGAGATATTTCCTTGGGGACAGACTCGAATGAAAGCTACATGAATCCATTTTAAAAGTAAAGTTATTTCTTTAGAATATTCCGTCCCAATTCGCAGATATTTGCATTTTACTAGATTAAGCGAGGGTCGACTTCCATTTTGTGTACGTTCGCGACCGCATGTTTTTTGCCAATATTCTGAAAATGATAGCGCAATAAATCCCATCATTTACACTAAGCTAAGAGCTAACAAAATTCTATAAAATAGCAAAAAAAAAATTCTGAAAAGATTTTTTTTCTATTTTTCATTTGCACTAATTGCGTACGAACGTACGTTCGCGACCCCTGGAAATGCCCATATATAATATATATAATATATATATATATATAATATATATACATATATATAATATATATACAAATATATATAATATATATACATATATATATAATATATATACATATATATATAATAATTTAATTATATCAATTTGTTATTTATGTAATAAAAAACAAGAAAGGAAGTTAACTTCGGCAAGCCGAAGTTTGTATACCCTTGCAGCTGTAATTATTGAATGTAATTCGAAATTCTTTAAAATACAAATAATAATAATTATAGTATAAGATAATATGTCAAAAATCATCGAAGCTATAATTTGTTTCATATTATTTTTCCACCAATTTTCCGATCGTTCCTATGGCAGCTATATGACAGTCGTCCGATTTCGATAAAATTTAATTCAAAATTCAAAACTAATTAAAAAATGTTAGTTCCAAACTTAGGAGGTTATATGCTAAAAAAACGCCAAAGATATAATTTTTTTAAATTTTTTTGTCCGATTATTCCTATGGGAGCTATAAGATATAGTTGTCCGATCCGGCTGGTTCCCACAAATATACTACCTGCAAAAGATATAAGACTTTTGGGAAAGTTTCAGCCCGACAGCTTTAAAACTGAGAGTTTGCGTAGAAACGGACGGACAGGCGGGCAGACGGACATGGCTAGATCGACTCGTCCAGTGATCCTGATCAAGAATATATATTCTTTATGGGTTCGGAAACGCTTCCTTCTGCCTGTTACATACTTTCCGACGAATCTAGTATACCCTCTGCAAGGGTATACCAATTATTGTTTTAAATTGTTTTATATTAAAACAAAAGTGTAATGCCAAATTTTGATTTTCAGGTCTCATCTAACAAATAACTTTGTTTTTGTATCAAAATGCCAGGTTCTCGTCAGGTTAGAAGATTAATTAAAAGAGAAAGGGATCAGTTACGTGAAAGATTTAGGTTAGTTGAAGAAAATTCGAACATACATATTGACGAAATTAGGGATCATGAGGAAGTTGAAGCTGATCAGGAAAACTTAGAAGTAGGTCAGGATAATCTAGAGTTAGGGGAGGAAAATGTAGAAGTTCATGAAAATTTAGATGTAGATCAGGAAAATGTATTAGGAGGTCAGGATAATGTAGAAGTTAACCAGGAAGATATAGAAAACATTGAGTCCGATCAGGGAAGCTTAAATTTTAAATTAAAGAAGTGGTTTATAAAGCACAAGCCAACTCGTAGTTGCGCCATAGATTTAATTAAAATTTTAAATGAAGAAAATTTAAATGTTAGGCCTTTTTATAAATTTAAATGCAGGAATACTCCAGATATTACGGAAATAGATGGGGGTTCATATTTGCATATAGGCTTATCGAAGCAATTAGAAAAATTATCAGTGGTAGCAGAATTACCAGAAGTTTTAAGCATTGACGTTAATATTGACGGTCTTCCCCTTACTAAAAGCTCTCGTGCACAATTGTGGCCTATTTTAGTTCGAGTTAATAATATTAATAAATGCCCCGTCTTTCCAGTAGGAGTTTTTTCATCTAAAAATAAGCCATCTAATTGTGTACAATATATGTCAAAATTTACTAGTGAATTGTCAGATCTTTTTATAAACGGACTTACAATTTGTAACAAAAAAGTAAATTTAGAACTTAGGGCGGTGGTTTGTGATGCACCTGCAAGGGCATTTGTTACAGGAACCCCTGGACATACATCCAGTCACGGCTGTACCAAGTGTCTTCAGGTTGGTCGCAAAATAAATGGTACATTAACTTACAGTACTGTTGCTAGTGAGTTAATTACTGATGAAGACTTTGCAAATAGAATTTATCCAAACCACCACAGCAAAGGTTATTTGAATAGTCCGTCCGCTTTTGAAACGCTTGGTGTTCGTATGATAACCCAAGTTCCTTTAGATTGTATGCATCTTATTGAGTTGGGGGTAATGCGCAAATTTTTAGAAAGAATTTATTACAATAAAGTTATAAATAAAGTTTCAAAACAAAACCAAAACGGTATTTCCGCAAAATTAATGTCAATGCGAACTTTTATACCTAGGGAATTTGCAAGGAAGCCGAGGACATTGTTAGAGCTTCCTAACTGGAAAAGCACTGAGTTTAGGCAGTTCTTATTATACACTGGTATTGTAGCTCTTAAAGATTCAATATTTGATGACCAGTATTATTTGTTTTTATTACTGCACTGCGCATATAGACTGCTCTGTTCGCAAAAGCAACGGGGAAATAATATTGAAAATGCTCAACAAATATTAAATCTATTTGTTGAAAATTTCCCCATTGTTTTTGGAGCAAACAGTGTGACTTACAATGTTCACGGCTTACTCCATGTAAGAGATACTATCAATCAAGTCGGAAATCCGGTTTCAGGATCTTCTTACTCCTTCGAAAATTACTTGCAGCTCCTTAAAAAATGTGTTAGAAAAAAATCTTTTATCTTAGAACAAATATTTAGGAAGATAGTTGAAGAAAAATACGTAGCCCCAGCAGAAGAACAAATAAAATTAGTAGGCAGAAATCTTAAAATGAAAGACTGCACACTTAGTGATAGGAAACCAGATAACTTTTGTTTTGTAGGAGATGAGGTTCCAATTCAAATAGAATCTTTTGAAGAGGTAGAAGGGGAAATTTTTATTAATGGAAGGGAATTGGAAGATAGGGACAGTTTTTTTATTGAGCCAATGAATTCTTCTGGCCTAGGTATTTATTTAGTTAATTTAGAAGTGCCTTCTAGAATAAAAAGATTTTCAGTAATGGAATTTAGGAGAAAAGCGGTAGCCATTCCTTATTTAGAAAAAATAGTAGTAGTTCCATGTTTGCATTTTTTTTAAAATAGGATTTTTAGTTTTTTTTAAAGGAGGTGTTTAGTCCGTAGGCGTAATTTTATTATGAATCGGACATATTTATTGCGACGGCGCTTTAAATATCTTTTGAAGATTCACCTACCCTGGTTCGAGTACCAAAAAAAAAAAAAAACGGTAGTTGTATTATTTGTATTATTTGATTTATTATTTCTTTTTATTTTATTATTGTTTATTTACTGTTTATTTTTGTTTATTTTTTATAATTTAATTTTTTTCTAACTATTTACTAATATTTTTTTTATCTACAATTATTGTTTATTTACTGTTTATTATTATTTTCATTTATTTTTCTTTATTTTTTATAATTTGGTTAATTTATAATTTTTTACTAATATTTGATTAAAATATTTTTTGTTATTTTAAACATTTTTAAATTAGTATGTCTCAACCTGAATCAAAAATTCGTCGTGTCCAGTTTGATGTGGAGGGTAAGTGTAACTACAAGAAATTGATTTTCTTGTTTCAATATGCATAGTGATTGCATTAATACAATATTTTTTTTTACAGAAACCCCATCGGTCTCTAGTGAGTTAATAAATCTGTTTTATTGGGTAATTTTGTAATTTTTCTTCTTTTTTTTAAAGATTCAACTGAACGACAAATATCAGAGTTGAAAGGTATGTTTTATAACCCTACACTGAAAATAGTAATCGCCCTGATTTTTAGAAATTTGTCGTTAATGGCGATTTATTTTATAAATTTAGAGTACGATAAATAAGAATACTATTTAATATTAATACTGTTACTTACATAAAAATAGTATTCGGCCGTTTTGTTTGAAAATTTATCGTACTCTAAATTTATAAAATAAATCGCCATTAACGACAAATTTCTAAAAATCAGGGCGATTACTATTTTCAGTCTATTTTGATGTTTCATTTATTTTTTGTAATATACATAAATTAAAATTTCAGAAGAGGTTCTCCAAAACCGCAAGGAGATTTCTATTGTGTCTCAGAAGTTGGACATATTGGTGGAAAAACTGGCGGAAAACACCGCACTTTTAAAAGTATCAGTGGATCCTGAGAAAGAGATTTCGGGCGCGGTACAATTTCCGCTTAAAACAGAAGAGGAACTTAACGAGTTCGAAAATTCGTTGACGCCGGAACTTATCGGCTTTTACGCAAGTATCGAGCAAGGCCGACTTGTTTTTGCATTTTTATGTTTCTTTTTTATATCTATTTGCAGACAAAGAAAATATCAAAAATAATTGGGAGCGAACCGCTGTCAAAGCGGTTCAAACTGATTATAGCAGAAGACATTATCAATGCCTACAATTTGGACGGGTCCAACGGGAAAAAGTCCCTCAGATGCCGTATAGGGTTATACGGAGTTCTTAAAGGTAAATATACAAATAAAAAAGTAAAACGCATTTCTAAACATATGCATTACATTTTTCAGGAGCGTTGGCCAAGGACTCCGAGGACCCGGACAAATCGTTAAGAAAGGCAATGACAAATGTGAAAAATAAACTTACCAAGCAAAAACACAGAAATAATAACTGTACAATTTTCGAAAATCTTAATAATACAGTATAATTAAAATTAAATAAAATGAAATTAAATATGTATGAAATTAAATATGTATGTATTTTAAATTCTATTTTTGTATAATTGAAAACTCGAGGAAAAATTCTGATTTTCCCAAGTGATTCACTTGGGACGTGTCCCTTGCAAGTGATTTCACAAGTGAAAACTCAAGGAAAAATTCTGATTTTCCCAAGTGATTCACTTGGGACGTGTCCCTTGCAAGTGATTTCACAAGTGAAAACTCAAGGAAAAATTTTGATTTTCCCAAGTGATTCACTTGGGACGTGTCCCTTGCAAGTGATTTCACAAGTGAAAACACAAGGAAAAATTCTGATTTTCCCAAGTGATTCACTTGGGACGTGTCCCTTGCAAGTGATTTCACAAGTGAAAACTCAAGGAAAAATTTTGATTTTCCCAAGTGATTCACTTGGGACGAGTCACCGGCACGTGACAGGCCATACGAAAAATGAGTATAAGGAACAAGTGAAATCCCGTAGGACTTCGAAAAATTTTCATTTGAATTTTCACTTGTGAAAATGCGGACATCCCATACAATTTTCTATATGGAGCGTCACTTGTTCTTCACTTGTGCACGAGGACATGTCCGAGGTGATTCCCAAGGTGATTCAGAAGTGAAACTTTTTTTTTGGAACTGAAGGGAAGTGACGCTCCATATAGAAAATTGTATGGGATGTCCGCATTTTCACAAGTGAAAATTCAAATGAAAATTTTTCGAAGTCCTACGGGATTTCACTTGTTCCTTATACTCATTTTTCGTATGGCCTGTCACTTGCCGGTGACTCGTCCCAAGTGAATCACTTGGGAAAATCAGAATTTTTCCTTGAGTTTTCACTTGTGAAATCACCTGCAAGGGACACGTCCCAAGTGAATCACTTGTGAAAATCAGAATTTTTCCTTGAGTTTTCAATTATAAAAATATAAAATTTAAAATACATACATATTTAATTTCATTTTAATTCATTTTAATTATATGGTATTATTTAGATTTTCAAAAATTGTACAATTATTGTTTCTGTTTTTATGCTTCGTAAGCTTATTTTTAACGTTAGTCATCGCCGTTCTTTAACCTTTGTCCGGGTCCTCTCAATCCTTGGCCAACGCTCCTGAAAAAACATATGTTTCAAAAATGCGTTTTATTTGTTTAATTGTATATTTACCTTTTATAGCTGTGTTTAACCCTTTGCAGGATTTTTATTGGCACAAAACATTTCGTCATCTACTTTCGGCTAACGGAACCCATTGAATACCTTCAAAATTTACGTACCTTAAACTAAGATCAATGCACAACATCTTAAACTTAATGTAGCACTTACCTGACTTTATTATATTATCTAAACGATTAAAGTAACTCTGCTGCGCACCATTAAAATGGATGCTTCCCTTTCAATCACTCAAACAGAATGCACCAAGTCTTCTTACCCCTTTACTAGATTTCTTTTGTTTTCTCTTCGCTGTTGGCGCGTGCCACTGCACCTATACCCTTTCTAAAGTGAATTATATATCCGACTATATAGTTTTTACTTCTTGAGTAAAAATACAATACGATTTTTTTTTTAAATGTTAATACTTAAATGTTTTAAATACTTAAATCAATTTTAACGGACTAAATTTCTATAACTTAACTAAAAAATTATATTGTAATAAAAATGTATAATAAGTAAATATAACATTATAAGTAAATTCAATATACTTAATTTTACTATAATCAAATAGTTTACTTTTATAAAACAATATTAGTTGTTTTTTTCGATACACAATAGTGCTCCTAAAATATTAGGGCATTCACAGGTCGCTGCTCCACGAAAATTTTTCAGCCGAAATATTAGTCGCTAGCCGAACATAACGGAGAAACGCAAAAAAAAAATAACGGACCAGCCGAAATTTGTCTCTGCGAGCGCGGAGTGCAGGCAGATTATAAGACAAGAGAGGGAAATATCCGAATATCTGCCTCTCTTTGTTGCACGATCGTTTTCGTGGGCAGTCTTCTACGCTGCGCCGACTGCTCTGCTGACGTCAACAGCGGCACAGCGTTTTAGGCACAAAAAAAAAACAAAAAAAGCTTTTTGCCTTGAGCCATGTCACCGCGTCCCTACTGCAGAACTGAAGGGTTGTTCTTCACTTGTGCACGAGGACATGTCCCAGGTGATTCACAAGTGAAACTTTTTTTTTGGAACTGAAGGGAGGTGAGTGTGTTTGTGAGAGTATTTGTGCGTGGTTTTTCAAAGCAGAGTGCAATAGGAAAACATTAAAATGGGTAAAAATGAAAGTAATGGTAGTGATTTGGCACAACAGAGCTCGGCACCTTTGGCTGTGGTCGAGCCTTTTGCAGACATGTACGCAATGCAGATGGACTTATCTTCCAGGTTGACCCAACTAATTAAAAATGCTAAAAAGGACGGTCAAATAAAGAAAACTAAATCCTACTATGAGTTTCGCCTCAACAAGCTCAACGAGCTTTCAAAACAATTTTACACAAATCATCAAGCATCGTATCCATATTTTGCGGATGCTGTTGAAGACAATTTTGAGCAAGCATACAGCCACATTTATTGTTCTTTCGCCGATGAATACGAAACCAAGTTTCCAGTCCCAATACAGGTATCAGGTGATCAACCCATAAACAACACCCTTGTGCCCATTCCGGTTTCCACAATTCAGCTGCCCAAATTGCCCGTACCCCACTTTTCAGGAAATTTTGCAGATTGGCCATCTTTTTATGACAGCTTTACGCAGCTAATACATGAAAATCAATCTCTTTCAAACATTCAAAAATTTCATTTCTTGAAGCAAGCACTACCGCACGGACGAGACCAGGATATAAACCATACGGCATTAACAGAAACCAACTATTCAGTGGCATGGAACCTTGTGGTAAAACGATACAACAACCCTCGACTGCAGTTCATGTACAATATGAATGCACTGTACGGAATCGAGCCACTGTCCAAGGAGATCGCGGTGGACCTGAGGAATTTGTTAAACTTGGCAAATGTATGTATTAGTGAATTCCGACGACTACACATTGCCATTGACTCCTGTGATCATTGGTTGGTACAGTGGTGCTCATATACTTAAGCCACAAGACTTCAACCAAAAATTTAAACGAAAATTAAGAAAAGTTTTTATTTCACAGCTCCAATTTTTTGTGTCACATTAGTTCTATATATCAGTGTTCTAAAAGAAGAATAACCAAGTTATAAAAATATACATTCAACGAAAAACTTAAAAAATCTGAGACCATCTCCAAAATGTCCTGCTCACATACTTAAGCCACCTGGAACATATTGGTTGAAAAAGTTAAAATTTTCCCAAAATTCCTTATACTTTTAATAAATTTACTTCAATATTGAGTGGGATGACCTTTCTGCTTAAGAAGAGCGGAGCAACGCTTTGGCACTGAGTCCACAAGACGTGCGCACTGTTGATGGGTGATTTTCTTCCACTCTTCTTGCAAAACTCGCCACAAATCGTTTTTATTTGCTGGTTTTTTTTGGCCAACGACTTGTTTAACAATTCCCCACAAGTTCTCTATAGGGTTAAAGTCGGGGCTCTGCGGTGGCCATTGCAAAACATAGATTTAGCCACGACTTGACTATTTTGCTGGTGTGTTTCGGGTCGTTCTCCTGTTGAAATATCCAGGCAAGTGGCAAATTATCGACATATTCTCCAGATAAATTGTTAACAAGGATGTCCCTGTCCATTTCGCCGTTCATAATGCCTTCTGTCTTCCCTAGGGGACCTACGCCCGATGCGGTGAAACAGCCCCAGACCATAATCGAAGCCCCACCATGTTTAATAGTCTTCTTCGTATATTTGGGGTCCAATTGTTTGTTGGGAGAACGTCGCACATATGGTTTACCATCACTCCAAAAGACATTAAACTTGCATTCGTCGCTCCAAACAATCATGTTCCAAAAATTGGGACCTTTTTGAATATGCTCTCTGGCGAATTGAAGGCGCTTTTTAACATTTTTAATTGACAGCAATGGTTTTTTTAGGCAATGCGTCCATATAACCCAAATTCATTTAGCCGTCTTCTTATGGTCTGAGTTGACACATTCACGCCATAATCTGCCACCATTTGACTCCTGATTTGCGTCCAAGTCTAGAACAGGTCGGCTTTACTGATTTTGGAAATCCGTCTATCGTCGTTTAAAGTGGTTTTTCTGGGCTTTTCACGTGGAACACTTTCCCAGGTTCCATGTTTCTTATAAAATGCAATCGCATTTCTGACTTGGCCACGCAAAAAATGTAAAGTCTTACAAATTTTTAGAATATTTGTGTTTTTCTTTCGGCCGAATTTGAATTCTTATTTTTAGCCATAGCGGTCAAATTGTTTTCGGAAACGTATTTAGTATTCAATACTTTAGTTTAGAAAATAACTAGCACAACTTTTCCGGAAAAAACACAAGTTTGACGATTTTAGCTCAAGGTGGCTTAAGTATATGAGCAGAGCACAATACTCCTTTTTGACATTTAGTCAATTTTTTGGAAAATACGAATACCTACTTGTCATTTTTTACTGTGATCAGATGCTTAAATAACAGTGTTGCAAAATGCAAAAATTTCAGGCCGAAATAAATATGTTCAAAAAAGTTATTAAGAAAACAGTTTATGGTAGTGTCAGTGGCTAAAGTCTATGAGCACCACTGTACATCACTTACTCACAAAGCTGCCTATCAGCACAACACAGGCCTGGGAACATTCTCTGGGCAACAACGTGGAAATCCCCACCTTCACAAAGCTGGAGGTGTTTCTTCACAATCGATTGGTCAGCATCGACCTAATCGAGAGTAGGAAACCAGCCGTTCCAGTTAGATCATCTATACAATCGACCAACCATCGCCAGACAACCAGACCATCGGGAAACTCCACTGTTAGGGGACACAGCTTCCACAGTACTCTTGAGTCTGGATCCATCAGGTGCTCGCTCTGCCAACAGAATCACGTTCTAAGACGGTGCCCGGACTTCCTTGCCCAGGATTGTTTCGCGCGAAAGGTTATAGTC